TATCCAGAGAGGTAAAAAATTATTTTTAATGTTGGTATTTTGAGTTTTTTTCCCAAAAAAAAAATAGAAGAAAGAAATCTTGTCGTGGGATAGAGCAATAAACAAAGCACAATTTAAGGTAACAAAAAGTACCAAAGTGTGCTCTAATACTGCACACCAGCATTGTTTACGAGGAGCTACGATGTGGACAAAGTGAGATGTTGTTCTACTGATCGCGCAGTAAATAAAACCGGCTCAAAAACCTGTGCATTTGCCTCAATCAAAGAAGGGTATAGGCTGTACAATTCCGCGTGTCCTTGGTCACTTTTTGTTCAAACACAAAGCAATACAGCGACAGCGATATAGAAACAATTTCCATCACCGCGAACGGATACAATGTATTTGAGATCTTTCTGAAGTTAACATTCTAGAGATCAAAAAACTCACCCTGAACCCTCGAATTTTCGATGAAAATGTTTCACACACTGTAGAATGTATATAAAATGATTTTATTGAGCAATCATGCATTTATCTTGACAAAAAATCTCACTATTTTAAGTTTGTGAGCGAATAAGTCTGTGTACAATAACTGTGTACATTTTTACAATGCGAGTTACGAAAGAAAAGTTTTTCCCCTATAATTTTACATATATCGTTAAAAACTTACGTATCCAGATTGTACCACTTCCTCCTAATAATATCCCGTAAAAACGGCGTAAAAAACTTAACCATATCCACTTAAAAATCGAGCGATAAACATGAACATACGAATGTCCGCCATACAAACTCTTGTAGGTCTCGCGTTGTTTGCCCCTTGGCAATCCATACATGCATTGCGTTTGGCGAGGGATCAATTTACTGGAAACTCATTCATTGGAATTACTTGACAAATARAATTTTAAGTGAACGATTTATGAATACAGTTTTCTTTTTCGTTAAAATCTAATTATTTTTAACTTTGATACTTGACAACCAGGGGCGAGCACCTGCACTTAAAAGACAAGTCTAACCGCAATTGTGTAACATTGGTACGCGTGGCCGAGTGCCTTCGATTTCTAATTCAGAGGTCTGAGATTCGAGACTCAGTGGAGCTGACATTTCTTTAGATTTCTTCTTTGCCAAAAAATAAATAAATTCAATCAAATATAGAAGAGCGAACCCGGTAACGGTAAATTAATGAGTAAATTACTAGAAAACAATGAGAAACAATTAATAGTTCTGAACACAAGTAACGCAGGCTCAAGTTTACAGGAAAGTGAGTGACTAAGTGACTGAGTGATTGTGTGAGTGACAGATCGTCCCCCTCCAATAACTCTTCGATTGCTTCGCAATCTTCGAGTTAAAAAGTCGTTGCATTTTGTAACCATGCACAGTAAAAATCGTTTTTATAGTGATGGTTTCTGAATGAAATTTGATTTTTAAATCTGTTTTAAAAGTAGTATCAAAGCTGCTTTTGCACTGCCCCCTTGAGTTGTTATATATTCCCGTTCTAACTCAGGCTCGTTGTCACTCAGGCTCTCAAAACTATCAAATATTCTGATACAACATTCACTTCGAGTTTACTATTAAAGACCTTTTCCTGCTGTTGAGACTTCAACCAATGAATATTTCTTTTTGTTCATTTTTCTTTGTACTGTTTTATTTCTGSCGTTAATAATAGTTGTTTTTGTAAGTTCTTTGTTCCGTTACGTGCCTATGCAAAATCGTTYCGTTATTCGTCCGGAATTAGTGTGTTAAGTTTAGTGTTGTCAAGGTCTTTAGCAGTTTAGATGTCAGCTCACTCGTAAATTATTATTTATTATTTCTTCATTTATTTTCGGTTTGTACTTTCGTCAGCAATATGTTTAAGCTCAGTATATTTGTATTGTACACTAGGAATTTACCATCATTAAAAATAGTGTCTGCGTGTCAAATCGTGTGGCTGATGAACTCTACATTGTAAATTCGATTGAATCAACAACATGGCTAAACTTTGCTAGATCTTCAACTTCTACATGATGTCTGAAGAAGGRAATTCACTTCGCCGTCTAAAGAAATCGCGACAAGGACATATGGGATTCCTGGCCCGTCAGTGCTATGAGATCGACACACTTTTACCGGACTATGGCAATGTTGTCAAAACTTAGACTCAGTGGAGCATTGACGAGATTTAAGGAATCATCAGCTACGTACATGGATTATCTCGACCCTGTACAACACTCAGAGGAACTCGTGAAGATTGTCGAAGAGGAGAATTATCTAGAGGAAAGAGTGGAAAACTACGCTCAGAAGGTAGAAAGATACCTCGTCAAAGCAAGAAATCATTATGATCGCCCAACACCAAAACAACGTTTTCGCCCGTCCCCGGCACCACCAAGTGTTATTTCTGGTATCTCCGCTCCATCCTTACTAGGCGCACACTACAATCAGCGATCGGTGCCTGCTTCATCCAATTATCCTTCTATAACCTCGACTGCTCAMCCAAGGTCTACSGCTTCGAGTTATTCAAGGAAATCATCATCCACATCTATAAGCTGTACCAGTGAAAGGTTGCAGACAGCGAGGTTTAAGGCTCCTAAAGCAGAATTAGAACGTAAACAAACCGTTGAAGAGAAAAGGAAAGATTTAGAAGACCAGCGGAAAAAACTACAGATTAAACTTCAGCGCAGGATAGAACTAGCCACGTTGGAAGACGAGAAAGAAATCCAGRACGCAAATAAGAAATTGGAAATGGCGAAATTGGAAGAACGAATGGCGTACGATGAGCTCAATTAACTTGAGGAAGAATTACATCCAAATACGCTGTCACCCTCGTTGATAGCTGAAATAACTTGACCTCCCGATTTGTCCGCAATCTGCAAAGATGAACAGATATTAAGTCTTCCAGAGGAACCCAAAGTCTCCAAATTGAACCCCTTCGTCGATAGTCACGTACATCAAGGGCCGGATTTGCTGACGAAAATGGTTGAAACAATGGAGCGCGTAAGTTTATCTCAAACCCTACCAGCGACAAGAATAATCAAATTCAGTGGAAATCCAAAARAGTCTGCAGATGGGAAAAAATGAGAAAAATTACAATAGTTTTTGATGTTGAACTCGCTCGAAAAAATACGAGGGAAGGATTCAAGAAGGAACAAACTAAAGTACCAAATGGCCGTGTGTACGTGCTTGGATAGAATGGACCAAGTCACACCGGTTACTTCTGATTCATACACGTTGGTTAATTCCGAAGAATAGATTCTTTTAAAAGTAACGGCGAAGATCTTGTTTATTGTTGTCTCTATTCTCTGATGAACATATGAAGAACAGCTGCGGGACTCGAACTTATTACACTCTAAATCTCCTCAAGTTTTGCTGGCCGCACTGGTCTTTTTTAGGGGAAAAATAGTTTAGTTGACTTGATTTGTTTAGTTTATTTGATGTT